GAGAAAGAGAAACAAAGAGAGAGAGAGAGAGTGTAAAGGTTATATACTGAACACCTTTATACGTAGGTTTTGCAGTAGTGATAGCTATTAACACGACTTATTCTTTTATTTCTAAGATTACCATAGCAACACAGATATAAACACTAACGAGACAAAGGGTAAATATAATTTGACGAACCAAACAACATTGCAATAGTGGGCACTCCACAAGGGGTTCATTGCATTAGCGGGGAAAAATCCACGATGAAAAACCCATTTTAACGGGTCTTGCTTGTGGAACTAAACTGCAGGTTGTTGCATACTTAATCTAGTTTAAAATAAAACAGATTATTAAGGTTGTTTTTTTTTATTAACATCATTTTTATTTATCTTATTTATTTATTTTTCCAACAAGGATTTGAGAGTGAAATGGAAAGAAAGAGGAAGGGAAAGAGAGAGAGAGTGAATTTTTTTCTTTTATTTGATTAATTAATTTTTATTATTCTTCAATGTTTTTTCAACAGGTCACTTTTTTTTTCTTATTTTCTTTTACTTCTTTTTTTTTTGTCTGCTAATGGGTTTTTAACCTTTATTTCTGTCCTCAACAGGTCAAACTTGTCTATTTATTTATTTATTTATTTATTTATTCAATTTTTCAACAGGTTTCCTAACCTTTTCTTCCTTTCAACGTGTTCATTATAGCGTCTCCCAACAGGTTCTTGAGGACTTCCAGAGACGGCAGTCGCGGGAGATCCTTGACGCGACGGACAGGCAGGCGAGGGCGCTTCAGGAGGAGAAGCAGAGGAGCTTAGGACTGGAGGAGGACATTAGGGTGTTGAAGGTGAGAGAGAGGGAGAGGGAGAAAGGGAGAGAGAGAGAGAGAGGGAGAGGGAGAAGGAGAGGGAGAGGGAGAGGGAGAGGAAGAGGAAGAGGAAGAGAGAGAGAGAGGGAGAGGAAGAGAGAGAGTGAGGGAGGAGGAGGAAGGAGAGAGGGAGAGAGAGAGAGAGAGGGAGAGGGAGAGTGAGAGGAAAAGATGGAGAGAGAGAGAGAGGGAGGAGGAGGGGGAAGGAGAGAGAGAAAGATATGGAGACGGTGAGAGGGAGAGGGAGAAGGTAAGAGAGAGAGAGAGAGAGAGAGAGAGAGAGAGAGAGAGAGAGAGAGAGAGAGAGAGCACGAAAGAGAGTGAGAGACACAAAGACAGACAGAGAGAGGGAGAGGGAGAGGGAGGACGGGTCTTGTGCGTAAAACTACTCATTACAAGGCAGACCACGAGAGAGATTCTAAACCAATGTGTGGGACAATCAGCCTGCCTCGATTTTCTCTAATCGTAATAGACAACGAATCTATCCCTCTATTCCCTTTAACCCTGAAGTAAACATTTACTTCTCCATAAGAGAGATAGTAAATCAATTTCTGTGATAAACGGCTTACCTCAACTAATCACCAGCCAACGCTCCCTAATCGCTTAATAGACAACGAATCTATCTGTTTGATTATTTATAAATTAATTTCTGTGATAATCAGCATGCCTCGACTTCTTATAATCACCAGCCAACGCTCTCTAATCGCCTAATAGACAACGAATCTATCTGTAGGATTCCCCCAAACCCTAAAGGAAACATTTACTTTTCCAAAAGACGCAACTCCGTGAGAAAGATCGTAAATCAATTTCTGTGATAAATGGCTTGCCTCGACTTCTTATAATCACCCTAGCTGAAGCTCCCTAATCGTAATAGACAATGAATCTATCTGTCGGATTCCCCCAAACCCTAAAGGAAACATTTACTTTTCCAACAGACGCAACTTTATGAGAGAGATCGTAAATCAATTCCTGTGATAAACGGCTTGCCTTGACTAATCACCAGCCAACGCTCTCTAATCGCCTAATAGACAACGAGTCTATTCATTCGATTCCCCCTGACCCTAAAGGAAACGTTCACTTTTCCAACAGACGCAACTTTATGAGAGAGATCGTAAATCAATTCCTGTGATAAACGGCTTGCCTTGACTAATCACCAGCCGACACTCTCTTATCGTAATAGACAATGAATCTATCTGTCGGATTCCCCCAAACCCTAAAGAAAACATTCACTTTCCCAACAGACGCAACTCCATGAGAAAGATCGTAAATCAATTTCTGTGATAAATGGCTTGCCTCGACTTCTTATAATCACCCTAGTTGAAGCTCCCTAATCGTAATAGACAATGAATCTATCTGTCGGATTTCCCCAAACCCTAAAGATAACATTTACTTTTCCAACAGACACAACTCCATGAGAAAGATCGTAAATCAATTTCTGTGACAATCCGCTTGCCTCGACTTCTTATAATCACCAGCCGACACTCCCTAATCGTAATAGACAACGAATCTATTCCTTCGATTCCCTCAAACCCTAAAGGAAACCTTTATTTTTCCAACAGACACAACTCCAGGAAGCGCAGAACGGACTGGACGCGGCTTCACGGCTCGGGGAACAGCTGAACCGGAAGGAGAGCGTCATCGCGTCCCTTAGGGCACAGG